GGGGGGGGGGGCTTGTGGCCCTTCGACGGGGATCGGATCGGGCTTTTGTCCGTTCTTCATCCAGGAAAGTGGGGGGCGTACTGTATGTCGGTGTTCCGGGGTATGGTGGAACGGTAAGGACAAGATGTCTTCCGTGGCACCTTCGCCCGACGGGCAGTCGGGGACATGTTGATGCGCGGTTGTGGTCAGCCCAAGCGTTTCGTGTTGAAAGGAATGGTCACCAAAGCGCGTGGTAGTGTTGAGAGAAATCGTCAATCCTGGATATGTCGCCCGATGCTGCCGCTACTGCTGTTGGCGTGCTCTTTTTTTTTTGGTCGTCTGGCTTGAGTTGTTGCAGTCGCTTATTTCGGACACTTTTCCCCGTTGTGCCCTCTCTTGACCGGCCCCACACGTGTGCCTGCAGGTGGCACGCCTTGCATTGCGCCGCGATATGCCTGGCTCACTTCGGGCGCAACGACACCTACATGCGCCTGAGGGCTACGTTCAACAAGACGTGAGGAGACAGCCTCCTGGAGCGCGCGTGTCTTCGACGCCGCCCTCGGCTTCCTCCTGCCCGTGTGCATCGTAGCGTTTGTAGATGTTGGGTGACCCTGACCCCACAACTGCTGCTCCTGCCTCGTACCCTCGCGTGCGTCCTCCCGAGGACACGTGGTCATTGGTCAAAAGACACCGCAACTCATGACCCCTCCCGCACTTGTGATATCGAACGATAAATGTAGGTGTAGGGATCAATTTTTTTATTCACACCTTTGGCGAAGCAGGACGGAACGGTTGGCCATCGGTGATCGGTCTCATGGGAACAATGCTCCGTCCTCTCGAGGGGGCCTGGTCAATGGTGTAACCGCTAAAGCGCATGCATAACACGAGTACCCCCCCTCTTCCCGCTTGGCGCGCAGCACCTTCCCGGGTACCGAGATGCCGTCGATCGAGGACTACAGCCCAGCGTCCGTTTGCCCGCAGCTGGGCGGGAACTGCTCGAAGCTGGCGTACTGGCTGCAGGTGCGAGGGACTATGTGTGCGGACCTGGAGTGGAAGCCGCAGTTTTCGAGGAGCCGGCTGTCGGACGCCAGCGAGAACGCGGCGTACGCGGCGGCCCTGGAGCGGAGATACTCGTGCGGCAAGCACAAGAAGCGCAGCGGGGCGGCGTGGTGCGGGGAGAGGTGGGGGGCGGCAGAGGCACCCAAGCACCCGGTGCCAAGTGAGTCTTGTCCTTTAGCCGCTGGTGGTGGTGCTGTTGAAGGTGGCCGCGAATGTGCTTACCCACATGAGGGCGTGTGACCGTGCTCGGCTCGGTGTGGTGGGTGATGTTCGCGCTGATTTGGTTGGCTGGCTGCAAGGCGATGTGCGTGCTCTTGAACGTTTCCACACTTCCATCGGTTTTACGCGCTCAATCGAACGTCCAAAGATGAGACGTTTACTGCTGTACAGCTGCCACATGGTTCCAATCGTTTCCAGAAAGCAGACATTCCTGAGTTCCATCGTGTACCGTGTGATCAACACCGCAGCCCTCCGTGTGCCCCTGCCCCGATTCTTCCCTCGACCTGCTGGCGCTTTTCCCGACCGAACCACAACATCCCGGATTAGTTTTGCTGCTTGGCCAAGAACAGCAGCGACTAGCCTCACCTTTGCGGGGAACGAAGCGTCAACGCCACAGCCACGTCGCTGAGGGCCTCAGCCAAACCTTGAACCTCCGCGCCGTTGTTGCTGGTGATATTTTTGTATCGCGCGTTTAGTAACCGCAGAACGAACGCTCTCTACCACCCCCCTGACGACCGTTGTTGTTGCCATCAAGACCCAGTAGATCAGGTTAGCGCTTCGGACATTGTGGAAGGCGGCAGCCAGCTACGGGCGGCGCTGAACGCGGGCCTCGCGGAGATTGGAACGCCCTTCAACGACCTTGGCGGGCTCGACATCCTGGAGGGCTCGGGCGCGGACCTCGACCTCGGTCTCGGTCTCGGCTCGGAATTCGACCTCTCACAGCTGGAATCGCCGGAGCAGGTCGTGGAGGCTAGCGGCGAAGCGGAAGCGAGTCTTTCGGCGGCGGCGGCGGCGGCGGCGGCGACGGGGTCCCCGGCCGTCGGTGCCACCGACGTTCCGGCGGCAGGAAGCGGCGGGGGGCCGCCGCCTCCGACGCCGCCCGGGNCGCCCGGGGCGGGTGGAGCGGCGGCCGTAAACTCGATGCAGATACCGGCGGGGCTTGTCGCAGGGAGGAGTGGGAGTAGTGATGTCGCTGGCAGCCGAGGAGCTGGTGCGGGCGCACCCGTCATCATCGGCGGTGGTGAGATTTCCAGGGGTCCGTCGTTTGGAATCTCGGGGCCGGCCGCGGTGTCGTCGATTTTTGGGCCGGCGGGGGCGTCGTCGGGCGGCGCTCTCTCTCGGCAGTCCTCTCTTGACATCAACACTATAATGCAGGTGAAGTTACCACCAATGACGTGTAGTTTGCGAGCAGTAGTGGTAGGTCAATTTTTTTTGAGAGGGTTACAAGGGTTCTGGCCATCGTCTGTTCGCGTGGAGAGCCCGTCGCTGCCGTTGCCAGTATTGCTTCACGTAGACAACATCATTTGTAGAATAGAAACGGTCCCTCTCTTCTACGTTTTTGTTTCCTTTTTCGCGATATTCTCCGCTGTCCACCCTCCGCTCGAGTCGAACTTGATCACTTGACTGCATCGATTGACTTTGTCTGTGTTCTCTCGTATTTATTCGGTGTTGATGTTGGTGACGGTTTTCGCCCTATATACCCCTCCCCCCCCCCCCCCCCCCCCCCCCCCCCCCCCCCCCCCCC